ATTTAAATGAAAAACTAACATAGAGTTGTTTAGTCGTCAAAATATGTTTTTCATATAAACACCAAATTGTTGAAATGATGCTGTTTATTAGATTAATAATGCTTTTTGAAGAAAAATTCTTTGACAATAAACTTTGTAAAAAGATGATTAATATTATGTTAAAAGTGTTAATATTTGAAAAACTTTTATTATTAATATTGTTCAAAAACTTATTGGACTGAAAAACGACAACTTTACTGGTTACATGTTTTGTTAGTTGTTATTAAAACTGTGAAACGTGTACAGAATGAATTAGTGTTTAAAAAATAATATGTTTTAAATAGGGTCGAGCAAGTGTAACACTTAAGCATTATTATTGAATTAAGATTATAAATCAACCACGTTTACAAATTGTTAATCAAGAATGTATTAAAATTGAAGACTTTTATCCATGTGATGTTTGATTGAAATTCACTAATGATTATAACGTATTGTGCATATTATTATTTCATTGATTTCTCATTTCAGATAAAACGATTTGTATTCATGGTGATGCCAAAACACACACAAATAATTGCAGGCATTTGTCTTGTGAAAAATATAATATTTCACACTTCAAAATAGTATTTTTGATAATTTTCAAAAATAGTATTATTTAAAAGTGTACTCCTTGAACCCACTTTTAAATATTATCAACATCAACATAGAGTTAACTATATATTTGAGGAACATATTAAATTTGTTATACAACATCTTGTTTTAAATTAATAAGGCAATTTAACACTTCAAATATACCAAATAATTTGAGATGTGAAACATATGAAAATTCATTGTAATCAAAGTTTGTAAAAACAGTATGTGTTTCAATCAATAGTAAGTTATTTTCAAAAACAATGAAAGAAGCAATTTAAATGGCTTTGGATGTTTGTATGATTATTATTATTCACTGTTCTGATTTTCATCAAATATTTTTAAACAGTGGAACTTCTGTGTTCTCAGAGTGTGTAAATGATTTATATTCACTTACGTGTGAATTAGTGTACAAAATGTTTTACAATCTAAAAAACTCGTGATCGGACGAATGGATACGATTTATATTGCTTTGGAAATTGTGAATTATACACAAATTGAACATACAAAAATGGTGTGTTATGTGTTATACCATATTTATAACAAAAATATATGCTGTCCATGTCACAGTTGTATATACAATACATATTTCACGTC